CGCCACTGTGCTGGAAGTATGAGGGCGAGGGCGGGGGAGCGGAACCGTCGCGGTGGGGAGGGGGACGGCGGAGATGGTGCGGGAATTTGCGACGCGTCAGCCGGAATCGCGGCTATTTGCGACACGTGGGCGGGCGGGGTTTCGTGGGTCGCGCGAGAGAAAGGGTCGGCGAGGAGACGCGTTCCTTTGCGACGGCGCGATGCGCGGCGTGGCAATGCGCGGCGCGTTGCTTTTTACTGGAGGAGGATGAGTCTGACGACCTCATACTCATACTCATACTTGCTTTTTATTGGATGAGTCTGCCGGCGACGACCTCATACTCATACTCATACTCATACTCATACTCATACTTGCTTTTTATTGGATGAGTCTGCCGCCGGGTACTGTGCCGCTCATTTTTGCACACCCGCTCATATTTTCACAGCCGCTCATGCTTTTCATATGGGCTGTGAACAGCCGCCCGAGTGCCCTTTGCTGCATTGTCATTCGCTGCATTGCTGGGCTGTAAGAGGCGTTGTAAGAACCGCAGGGGATATGTTATTTATTTCAATATTACTATGACATCACCACTCATCTTTTCACAACTGTCCTGGGCAGCGCAGCTTCTCTATTTACACGTGTCACATGCCTGCTGCCTCATCCCTCCCACTGAACCGGCGCAGTCTAAGCGGCGAAACATCCAACCATCTTTAGATGTCGCGAAATCCACAAAAGGACGCAGCCAAAAATGCTGTACAATGTACAATGTACAGTAGTCAAAAACCTGTGATTTTGACCCCGTCAAAGCTATACAATCGTAGTATCACAAACGAGCGAAGACCCCTGCAATTGTTAGTCTCGGATTTCCCATAAATTTATTGAAAGGACCGCCCTGCGCTGCCAATCTCCGAAAAGCCGCACCTCGCCGCACTGCCCGCCCCTGCCCGCACCGCCACGTCTCCTCTCGTTCACCCACCCAACTCCTCCAGAAAATCCCCTAATACAGTAACCCCTAAACCCCCTAAAGCCCCTGACCCCCCCTAGCCGCCTCCCCTTCCCGCCTCCCCGCTTCCCCCCCCGCCCGCCCATGGACGACGCCCCGCCGCTCGGCGACCGCCCCGACGTCGTCCTCCTCTTCTACCTGCTGGTCTTCCTCCCGTGGTCCGCCCTGCAGGCGCTGGACTTCATCGGCCCGGCCTGGAAGACCGTCGACGACACCCGCCGCGACGGCTTCCTCCACTTCCTCATCACCCTCGTCCCGCTCTTCGCCATCGTCTTCTACCTCTACCTCCAGCACCGCGCCCGCGACTACAAGGAGTTCTCCGCCGCCCTCGTCGCCCTCTGCTTCGCCGCCACACACCTCGCCTCCACCTGGTGGGGCCTCACACAGCTCCACCACTTCCGCAGCTGGGCCATCCACGCCATCCGCGTCCTCGAGTCGCAGGGCACTCCCTACATCCTCGCCGATGACCACCACGACCACCACGCCGACCCCCACCACCAACACCAACACCGCCACCACGCCACCGCCGCCGCCGCCGCCGCCGCCACGGCCCGCAGCAAGGCCGGCCGCATCAAGGTCAACGAGTCCATCGTCGACAACTCCATCTTTGTAGGCCAGGCGCGGTGCTACGCCCTGCG